TCTCTTCCCTTGTTTGTGTTTTGTTCTGTCTTCAGGAAAACAGGACCGACTTCAACAATAACAATCACAGAGCCACAGCCCATCTCAACTACATTTTTCTCCTTTCCAACCAAAAAGATAGCTATTACGATCTTTTACACCATGTAAAGGGAAACAGGGTTTTTTTCCTTATAAGGGCTTTTTTACAGCTAAAGGGAAAAGGAATAAGGAATACTGTTAAAATGAAAGCCTTGTTAAATACTTTATGTTTCAAGTGTTTTAGCCCATTTTCCTTCTTTTTCTGTATCTTTCATAAAATATTGAACAAGACTTCAATGGTGGTTTTTATGTGCCTAACAGCCCAGATCTTTGTAGTCAGATCCTAAACCTTGTATAACTATTGAGCACCTTACTTCATGAGTAGTTCCTGCTAGAATTCAATTTACTATTTCAGTACCACTTGGAAGGTTGGCCAGATTTTGCCCCATATATTAGGGGTGTGCACAGCAGGCCCTATTCAATTTGGATTCGGATTTGGCCTGAATCAGGGATAGTGATTTGGTTAGCTGATTTGGATCAGTGTCCCCGATTCGATTCAGCTGAATCTGAATCTAAAGATTCGATGCGAATTCAGAGAATCAGCGATTCAGACACAGATGCAGCTTTAAATGTTTTTTCTACATACCTTGAGTTAGCAGGCACAGCTTATGAATGCTGCAATGCTAGGGCACATGGAGCATCCCACAAGAGTTCAGGGGGCCCTCCACATGCTCAGTGGTGAACCAGGAAGTTGACTGGAAGTACTTCCGGTCTACTTCTAGGTCTGTAGGGGAGCATGCAGGGTCCCCGCCCCACACACATACACACCCTGCCATCTCAGCGAGTGGCCATGAGGGGGACCCCAGGTGCCCCTTCAGACCCAGGAGGCACCAGTCATCAAGCCATGCGGGGCCCCCAGTGCGCTCCCCGGCAGACCTGGAAGTGGACCAGAAGTGCTTCTGGTCCACTTCTGGGTATGCTGCTGAGGATGCTGGGGAGCCCTACTGCACTTTTGTAGGACACTCCATGCACCCCAGATTCACCCCAGCATCGCAGCACTCACGAGCCCTTGCTACTTAGAGGTATGTAGAAAAAACATTTAAAGCTCTGTCTATGTCCAAAACTCTGAATCTTTCAGAATCTCTCTGAATCAATTTGGAGGGCTCTGATTCCTTTTGGAGAGACTAAAGAGTCCTATGATTTGATACAGATTTGGAGATTCAGCCACCGAATTGGGTCGAATCTCTGCCAAATTGAATCAGGGACTGAAGCTTTGCACAGCCCTACTGTATACCAAGGATGGGTGATGTTTTGAAGCAAAGGGCCTTTTAATGGACCTTAGCTTTGAGCGTGCATCACTTCAAAGCAGACCTGCACTACTACTATTGCAGCTACAGTCACTGCTCCCCCACCTTCTCTGCACTGCTTGGCTACTGCCTAGGCTAAATCTTCCTAAATACCACTAACTACCTCCCACTTACAACTGAAACACCACAGATGCACCCTGTTTAATCAGGCCTGATAAAAGAGCCACAGACCATTGCTACCTTTCTGGATACTATTACATTTTCTTGCTAACACACAAGCAACTGCTAAAAGTTTGTAATATTACTGTGTTTAACCAAGCTATCACAGTCTCGATAGAGGTTTCTTTTTGAATCATTACTTAGGCTGCTACATTAGAGTCCTATCAGGTGCATCTCATGTGCTTTTATTTTTTGTTGGTGTAAGCCAATACATTGTCTTTTTCTCCTTGGCCTTCCTGGTATATTGCTACACCAATGGATCTCTGTCTACAACCTCCTTTCACAGAAATGGGACTCATCAGCCTCTATGAACCAATATTCCCCACTTACTTTCAACTTCAGCATCCCCAGGTTCCACCCTTCAGGGCATTCTGGCTTTATAATTTATATACTAAGGGACTTGGAATAGTTGAAGTGAATGAATATACATATTTTGTAAAAAAATCCAAGAAACAGTTGCTTTTAACTAGCCCAAGAAATATGCTCATCTAGACAGAATAATGATTGCTAAGAGGCATTTCCAGGACTCATCTTCTTTACCATTCTGGAGTGTTCTTTAAGCCCAGGTCAGAACGGTCTGAGTGGTTTTAGGTGCTTTCTGTCACTCTATCAGTATATGGATTCTTCTCGAGAGCATACAGTTTCTCTCTCACATCTATAGACACTTTCCTTCCATTATCTTTGGCTAAAACTGGCTGAGGAGAGACCATGTCTTATCCCATGCCCTACTGACAGGTGACTCCCCAGTCAGCTTCATTAAGTGATCCACGTCCCCGCCATGTGATTTATTGCCTCACTAGAAGACCATAAGCTAGGCTTGGCCACCCTGTCAGTGTATCTATTGTATTGCACAGACCTACTCAAATATTAACAAGGCTTGATAGTCCTTTCACACAACCCAGACATGACTATGTGACACACAATGTTGCTCCATTGATCACTTTAAATAAATTAATCCCTTGAGGTCAGGTAGCAAGCAGAACAAGAATAAAAAATGTAAACTAAGTTTCTCATAATAGTTCATGAAAAAACTGCAGAAGTTAACCCCATTCTCCACACACATTTAATGAAGTATGGAAATAAAACAGAAGAATGCTTAGTGCTGTATAACTAATTGAGCTGCAATGATATTTTAAGTAGAATTGAAAGTAAACATTTAAGGCCATTTCTATGACAGCATTGAAAATCATGTAGAGACTTCATGGTGCAGGGGAAACAAATGTAAGAAATGTAAGCTTTGCCTTTAGGGAGGAAAATTGTGTTGTTACAAGGGAAAGCATTTGAGTTATCTGAATTTCCAAACCATATAGCCTTACAATAGGGGAAAAATCAAAACAAAAACAAAACAAAAACACTTTCCCAATAAAATACTATGATACAATATAAGTAAATAAATGATGTAACGGAAAAGACACAAACATATTATTCCTCAAACCTCCTGTGAAAATATGCTGAAAAATATTAAAATTAAATCAAGCATAACAACAGTTTTTATTAATATGGTACAGAAATCTACAGGCCTCTGTACTCGGGCATGATGTGGCTGCCTCTAACTTGATTACTGCTTTCAGGAATAGATTGAATATTTATGTGGGGTGGCCAAATTTTGTTTTATTTCTTTTTCATTCAATTCAAAGCATACCTACATGAACTAGTGCTTAGGGGACTTATGGGGCTGTAAATCAAAAAAAGACCATCAGCAAATATTCTCTTTACTCAGAAGCCATGTTGCCATCTAGATTATATAGAGATTTCTCTATGAAGTAAAGTAACAGCAGCTACTTTTTACATTCCTATCACAACAGTGAATATTGTGAGACTATCTGTTAGCTCACAGCTCTCTTATATTTTAACTGAAAATAGATAATATTTTTCAGTGAAAGCATGTCCTGTAGCTACTTTTTATTTGCATATTTTCTTTATCCCAGATAAAATTCTCTCTCTTCTTTTCTCTTCCTTCATCCCTGAGACAATTCCAATATATTCACAGAAATTACATGCGAGAGGAATACAACACTAGGGATGCATTCCTACAATTGACTCAGCCTGGGGTCAACCGCAGGGCTGGGGCCTATGAGTCTACAGAGTAGTTATGTTTCTCTTATGAATTATAAAAGACCAGATTTCATTCTCAAATGTTATATGGCTTTCGGTGAAGCAAACACTGAACAACTGAGGGAATTAGAATATAGACCTTACTATTACAATTAGCTAAAAAGGGTTGTGTCTAACACAGATATTTTAAATGGAATGCTGTCAATCCTTGCAAAGGCAGCAGGTTATATACAGAGGGTGGAGGGAGGACAATTATACTGGGAAACACCCACTTACTGACTGTGAAAAATAATTGCATCTATTGACTAACTGCAGTTAAAGAATGGTAGCATTAGTTTGTCTTCAGGTTTTTTTTTCTTTTGTTATTGAAAAGATTCCAGGAGAACAAAATAAGTGTTACACAAACCACAGCCTTTCTTCAAGACAAAGAACTTCAAAAGGCTCAGTTAAACACACTAACATTTGAATATTTACATGACCCTTCTTTTGACAACTTTTTCTTAAAACAGAATTTAAAATCTTAAAAGCGTAAAGGGCACAATTCAGCTTTATCCCCCACAAGAAGGCAGGTCCAGGAAAAAAAATCATTTTAGCACTTAGAAACCCCAAACAATCTTAGGACCCTATCATGCCAGGCAATATGTATAGAGATAGTCTCTAGCCTTGAAGAGCTACCCAAATAGTACCTAAGAAAACTCAGAAACTTTACTTCACTTATAATCTCTTGAAGGCATAACTCACTTGGTTCTGGTAGTCAATTTCTGAAGGGGTAGAGTCTCCTTTTGTATCATTTGGAGAACTATTCATTCTCTGTATGCCCAGTACACCTCAATATTCACTCATGTAAGAATCAAGTAGGAGCTGGCACAGAGAAACCTTGGGTAAGTCACCCAAATTATATGTTCCATTTTACCTGTTCACCAAATATTGTAATAATGGGTACTTTAGAAGTGTAAAAACAGAAACTTGCATGGATTTTATACCTCCCTTCCAACCTCAAAATATAGAGACGTATTGGGAAGAGGGAAAAGGAGTTAAAAGTAAGTGGAGAAAACTAAGCGACCATTAAACATTCTAAAATTCTATTGTAACTTTTTAGTTATCTTTTCCTCATGAAGAGCTTTCATAGAAGTCAGTTATAAGATTGGCTATTGACTTCCATGTGAACAGAATCAGGCTTAAAATACAGAACTTTAAAGGGCTGGAGAATGACCATGGCCAAGTAGCTTGCTTAGCATTGTGATTCAGTTTTTCCACAACCCCATGAGCCTAGAGAGACTTTAATAATATCAATGACCAATTTAAAAATAGAAATAGAATAGCAATAAATAAATTCATGCAAAAATACCCCTAGGGAGCATTCTACAGAAAGCCAAAAGGCTTAGAAATGGGCTTACCTACCTCCTGAAAAATGGCCAGCTCCTAGGCAGGGTATATCAGACAAGGGGACTGCAAGGTGTCTTGTCCACCTTATTCTTCCAATGCTCTGTGTCATGAAGGTCTTATTCATTCATTTTAATTCAAAAGATAGTTGTACCCCTGTACACTTGGCGCCACTTCTAGGATTAAAAATAATTTACATGTAAGATAATGATACAGCTGAAATTATGGAAAGAGTCACTACATTACAATTAAAATATTCATACATTTAAATCACTAGACATGTGTGAAGAGTCTGCAATTCTGAACACAACAAAGTAAAATGAAATTTTACTGTTGACTTCCATGAGTCCAGAATTTCATCCAGGTTTACAGCCTGCCGTCAACAGTGATTATTGATCATCCATTGAGCTATGTCTATCCTAGAGGGTAAACATTCTAAATTTTTAACCAATGGTACCTTTCTGCTAACTGTATCACATAAAAAACAATTGTAGGGTTCAAAGAAGTCATTTTAACCATCAAGACTAGTTGTACCTGACCTCTATTGTGGCCAGTTGTTCTATTTTTATATAGGTTTTTTAAAGGCCTGTGGGAAGACTAAGGTTTTGTTATGAACAGGACTGTAGCAGTTATGGTAGATGGGGAAACCTTTCATTTCTGCTGAGCTGCAAGTTTTATGATTGTCTGTTATCTAGATGCCTCTTTTTATGGTTTTGACAAAGAAATATAGAAAAGTTACTATCTTTTGTGCTTCAGGAATTTTGTAGGGGCAGAAGGTGGAACTCTAGTGCTCAGAGTTCAATACTGAGAAGTGGTAAGCACACTTAAAATCAATGTAATAAAGAGAAATAAATAAATGTAAATGAAAAAATGTAAATAAAGTGAATTTAGCATTCTACTAGAATCACTTAGCAGCTGCAAGGTCTGGACCCTCTTGATGTGGTCTGTTTCATGACATTTGACCATTCCGAGGCTTATATTCTTATATATATATA